GGGTGGTAGGTTCATCGACACGCACCACATCGCGTCCGACGCTCCGCACCTGACTCCTGCAAGAAATCTGCAGCGTCGTCGAGTCGACATCACGAGTGCCGTTCTGCGCGAGCCAGATATAGGTATGTTGCCCGTGCGTAAGGTGAATTAAAAAGGAATCGATAGAAATTCATTTTGCAAAATTATGAATTCGTAATCTTTTCCCCGCTTTACATACGTCGGCTTCCTGCATCCTTCTCCTTACCTATTCATTTTAATCTCCGACAGCAGTAACTCGGAATAAAACAAAAATAAATTTCTCTTTCTACCTCCACGTCCGATATATACAATTACATCGCTAAGCAATTACGCTATGTGTTGGGAAGGAAAAGAGAGATAAAAGAAAATCCGGAAGTTTAAAAATAAATCTTCGAGTTTGGTATTTCAAATTCGCTGAAATTTTAATTCGATTAAATCTCTTCTATTTTTTCAGAAAATATCTGGATGAAAGTTAGTAGAGTTTATTTTATTTTCAAAACGAGCGATTTGTATATTACGGAGAAAGCCGCTGTGTGTAGCGTTTTTATCACACAAAGACACAATTTGAAGATACCGTCGACGGTACGAGTAGTATGATCCCGCGCCAAATGCATTCATCGTGCGTGTATTGTTCGGAGTTGCATCGTCTGATACGGAAGACAGTTAATTCTAACCCGCGCGTCTAAATTCATGACGTCACAATGCTCAGATTGGACATTGCGTTAGCCGGAGTAACTCAGAATTGTAACCGTAGAATTACAATCAAGATCATAAGCGTACACAACGACGCTCTTGTTTCGCAATGTCACGGAAAGCGTCGACGTTGCGACTACTATTCGCAAACTACGCATTTTGAACGTTTCATGATCTTACGTATAGAAAGTTTGAGATCTGATTTTTAAGACAACAATTTTTCGATCGTCAGGAAAAAAAGCGAGATTATTTGTATTCTAGAAAAGGCCACTGTGAAGAATGTAAAATATAAATAATATCATATTGTTAATGTCATGTTTGCGAAGGTTACCAAAACATCCTGTTTAAAGAAATAGGATAGTAAATTACACGACATAAAAATTATTATAATCGGTCGAAAATTGTATCTAGTTTTCTACAAAATATTCTATTTGGAATCACGTCGAATATGTTAAATGCGAATGTGACGATACACAATGTTACGACGCACGTTGTATTGTTAGTGCAAATTTTTTTACGGAAAATTTCTCATCGCATTTTTCGACGATATTCCAAAGACGACGTCATTTTATTGTCAGTTTTGCGACACGGCGCTCTTCCTCTATCGGCGTTGCTTTTACTTAAAAAGAGGAATAAAAAAAAAGAAGGAGAGAGAAAAGGAAGAAGGGTGAAGGCTTTAGGTCCGCCCTCATACCAGGACTTCGCGTCGTCCTCATAAACTTCGAAAACATTTCTTATAAACGGCGGATGTTCCGCGGGGGTAAAATTCCTGACGGGTCTTATCATGGCAGAGATTTACTCGCAAGGACGGTGAGGTATAAAGTATTAAAATATCACGCGAATGGCGCATTCGGAAATTCCTGCTGCACCTAAAAGCAGAGACGCTTCTCGCGCAATATGAGGATTTTCTCCTTTAGACGGAATCGCCTCTCGCGGTAAGCGACTCTAAATTATTCGTTTCGTTATTTCCTACGAACTTTTATCATACGCCGCTTTTATCATTTTTACTCTTTTCTTCTTACTTTTTCTTTATAAATTTAATTTGCGATTTTATTTACTATTACGATGTGCAAACATGCAGAAATTTATACGATTTAATTGGGGCGAGCACGAAGTTAAGGACGAATAAGAATCATAATATAAAATGCTAGATATATCTATTATGTAATTGTCAATCTAGAAATTTTTTTTAATACATAATTCTAACGACAATTCTTTTTGATATGATAATTATGTGATTATTAAAAAAAAGAAGAGCCTAATATAATATGACTTTTCCAGTGTAACTCAGTGATATGCAATCTTTCTTAAACTAACAGCGAATTCGATCGGAGTAGTGCACACTCAATGTACTTTAATGCCATCGAACACGACTGTACACTTTGTGTAACAATAACTACCGAACTTAGCTCGAGTGTTAAAACAGTTGCTTGAAAGTTGCTCAATAAGATTTATGTGTAACATTTAGAAAAATGAATAAAAACTGTACATATTATTTTCAAATTGATCAAAGCTTGCGAACCGTATAATGCTATTATTTTGATAGTTTGCATAAAATAAAGAATATTTTATATTTTCAGTTATGAACCGGCGGGTTGCAAAAAATTAATTGACGGCCCATTACATTACTGATATAACACCGTCACTGATATAACAATATAAGTCATACTAATTTTTTTATCATGAGAATCTCAAAACATACCGATAATAATCATATAGAAAGTAATGGTTATAAATTATTTTAACAAACCTCATAAAATCGAGGCATCGTGGGGTAAGAGGTCTCGAAACTCGGCACCCTCGGAACCGTCAATTACGAATTAACGTGCTCGTAAACTGAGCCATTCGTACTCCACAGAGTTGTGATTATTATATAATTATATAACATATGATCTTTTTCAATTTCTAATGTCATTATTTTTCATAAATCTCAGTAACATGTCGACATTGTGCATTGTGCATTTGTGAAGCTTAGAACAATTTGAAAATTAATTCCGAAAACGGAAGAATTACGAAAAAGAGAATTAAAGAATTTCTTATTGAAAAAAAATATCTCTTAACACCGTTTGATTATAAAAATTTGTAAGATCCGAAGAAATTGCGGGTAAAGTCTCTAATATTTCACTTCTTCGATCGCGATTTCACACACGAGGGGAGGACATAGTCCCGAACAACGCAGTCTTCGGACGCGCAAGAACGTCTGCATCTACTCTTATTGTATCCGATCGTGTGCAAACGAGGACAAAGCAACGACGGAAGAAGACGCGGGAGAGACACGACGGGGCAAGGCGGATGTGCGAAAGGGATCGAAAGGGGCGAAAAGCGGTAGGAAGCTACTGAAGAGGCGAAGGGCGAAAGGTGAAGGGAGGTGAACGCGTACCTCACCTGGCATACCGGGAGAGTATCGCGACACATTTTGATCGAATTCTTCTCGAGGTCGGGGAATGCCGGTATCTCCCGTAGATATTATTACATATTTAGGCGGTACGCGGCTCTCTCTCTCTCTCTCTCTCTCTCTCTCTTTCTATCTCTCTCATACACACATACATACACTTTCTGTCTCCCTTTTCGGAGAGGTAATATACTTAGAGACGTATTCTCTCTCTCTCTCTCCTCTCTCTCTCTCTCTCTCTCTCTCTCTCTCTTTCTCTCTCTCTCTCGACGCCGCGCGGCACCGCGGGGCGTACATATCTGGCTCACTATACTTGCGCCACTGCTGTATCCTCATAGCTCTCTCGCTCTCCTAGCACAGACCTCGAAGGATCGCAGTTCTGCGCGATATCCTGCATATCTCGGCATACCGTCCCCGTCGTTTCCGACATTGTTCCCTCGGCCCGCCCCCGCACGGCTCCCCGGCCTCGAACCCGGACGTGGAATAATCCCACTCGTTCGACGTCTACCGGGCCCGGCTTCCCGGCCGGATTCCAGTCGATTCTGGTACCGAGCTTGTGCAGGGTGAGAAGCCCCGGCATCGGGCATGATAATTGGATGCTTTTCCGCTCGCCCACCCTTCCGCCCCCCGCGCCGCCGTTCCCGAAAAAGCGCGACGAAGAAACGCGCGTAGGGGCTTGTTGACACAAACCTTGAAAAACCGCATTACTCTCGTGTACAAGATAGTTAATACCAGAGGCAGCTGATGCTGAGAGAGATCTATATTCTTTCGAAAATTCGCACAAATACTAGGAAAATTGTTTTATAACGATAGAATATTATTTTAAATTGTTTAATTATAAAATAAAAAATACTGTTATCACAGCTGTAATTATTAACTATTAAATAAGTTTTTTACTTATAGCTTATATACTTCCTATTCATACTAAACAATTAATATATAATTATAAAATACTTAAAATAATAAACAATTAAAATGCATAAAAGAAGTAACGAATAATCATAAATATTACTAATAAATATAAAAATTGACAACTTATCTGTTTAAGAACACGGAAATCGCAGTAAGCCATCTGAAAAATGAATAAAAACTGTATATATTATTTTCAAATTAATCAAAGCTTGCGAATCGTATAATGTTATTATTTCGATAGTTTGCATAAAATAAAAAATATTATTTTATATTATCGGCTATGAGTCAGCGGGTCGCAAAAAATTAATTGACGTGTATCACTGATATAACAAAACAATTACCTTTCTATATGATTAATATTGGATTAGTTCGATTTTCTCAAAGTAATCTAAATATTAATCATATAGAAAGGTAGTGGTTATAAATACATTTCTAATAAACCTCATAAGATCGAGGTATACGTGGGGTAAGAGGCTTCGAACTCGGGATCGTCAATTACGGAGCAACATGCTCGTAAACCGAGCCATTCGTACCCCACAGAGTTATGTTATTATAAACAATCTTTTCTAATGTTATTACTGACGCCCGCAGGTCGTATGAAGTTATTAGAATTATACCGCAACGCGCGAAAATAGCGCGAAATTTGCGACAAACATTCCCCGAGTAATGGGCCGTATGTCCATCACGCGTTTGTCGACGATAGCCCGGTAACGTCGAAATGCGTTTGTTGAATATTCAATGTCCAGTATCCGACTCCCGGGGGACGACGACCATAAGCACTGGATTCTATTAGCAAACAGCCACGAGAACAATGGTGCGTCGTCGATGCGATTCCGTCGATATACAAGCGGCGAGTCGATGATCGAGCCCGATAAATGCCGGCCACCTTCCTTCGGCACATTTCACGGCGAACGTCCGCGTCCCGGGATACTATTCGCATATCTAAATCCCGTAGAACGTCCCCTGTCCGTACAATTCCCAGGATTGTTACCAGTCCGCAGGACCACTTGCCGCTGCACTCCTTCGTGCATGGCCGGACCTTACCTACTTCGTCGAGAACGGCCGTTTCGCATCGTCGTACGTGAGCGAACAATGTCAAATCCAAAACATTCGAAATGCGTCTTATGTTGTAACCCTCAGCCTCAGCCATTATACGTGTTGTAGTCAAATCTGAATATCTCGAGATGTTTGAAAACGACGCATTATATTACTATAATCAATTTATTACTTCTATTCAAATTTAAAATTTTACATGTTTGTTTTCTTCTTTCACGAGCTATACTTCTAATTTTTACAAGTTCAATTTTAACTTACTGCATTAATTGAGAATATATCAATATTGTCTTAGTCTTTAAATTTTATCTAGAATTATTTTTCTTTAAAAAAAAATCACTTGTTTAATAGACTGTTAAATTCTGTGAAACTCTTTATTTAGAGTGTCGCCAGGACAAAATACGTCTGAACGGCGTTCTACGTTCAATAATCTAACAAAATCTAAAGATATCAGCCTCAAAGAATGCACGAGAGTACGTCCGACACCGACGAAGATTTCTTCGACGCATTAGCGCTGTTGCATTCGACGGAGCAAGACAGCGCGGAGAAGCTTCGTCGGATGCTGGACGCCTGTATCGAAAGAAAGCACGGCCACGAAAAAACTTTAGTTGTGAGAATGTCGAACGCAGCACAAAACGCATCCGCTCTTCCGATGCACACCTCGAAGAGGCACGATCACGTAACGCAAGGCGGTAACGCGATAAAAACCGAGATCCGGACTGGCGATCCTGAGACCATTTCTCTTCTCGAAGCTAACGAAGCGGAGAACATTAAGACTCATCGGACGCCCGGCGTAAAAGTGTTCGAGATCGATTACGAGGACTGCTGCGAGGACGAGGAAGACATTCCCAGGATCTCGATCCCCGACGAAGGATCCGCCGACGGGACAGCTGTGTGCAAGGTACGTTTTCTTCAATTATTAGCCCGGCCAGTTTATAATTTGTAGCTTAAACGCAAAATCGCGAGATTTGATACGATTGTGTGACTAATTGCCTTCGCGTTACTGACTGAATTAAATAAATTGATCAAAGCTTACGAACCATACAATGCTATTATTTTGATATAGTTTGAAAAAAAAAACAGAAAATATTATTTTATATTTTCGGCTATGAGTCAGCGGGTCGCAAAAAATTAATTGACGGCCCGTGCATCACTGATATAACAATTTATAAGTGATACTAATTTTTTTCTTATGAGAATCTCAAAATATACCGATAATAATCATGTAGAAAGTAGTGGTTATAAATTACATTTCTAATAAACCTCGTAAAATCGAGGTGTACGTGGGGTAAGAGGCTTCGAAACTCGGGACCGTCAATTACGAAGCAACGTGCTCGTAAACTGAGCCATTCGTACCCCACAGAGTTATGCGATATTATTTACAATCTTTTTCAATTTCTAATGCTTAAAATCGTGTGATATGCGTAAAATCGAAGATCTGTAACGGCGCGAAACTGGGACCTCTGATTTTGCTGGAGTGCCAGGAGTGTCAGGAGGCTTATCATCCGCTGTGCCATCAACCCCCGGTCATCGACGTTGACGTTTACGACCCTAGATTCGTGTGGCGATGCGGACGGTGCGTCGTCGGAGCCCCGTCGGTGACTTCTACGAGGGTTAAAATTATGGAGAAGAGGCCCGTGAGGAAAGTTCGACGAAATAGCGATACGGTCAAAGAGAATGCAAACATCTCGGGATTGAGAATACCTGGGAAAAGGGACGGGGATTTGTTTGGAAAGAACGGTAAGGTTTGAGAAGAACCCCCCCCGGCAAATATTGATCTTAAGACCTCTCTTTCTGTCTTTCTTAATTACGTTTTCAAGTAATTTTTATATTGCTGTTTTAATTTTTATAAGTACTTACTAAGGAGAGAACCAGAAATGGAAACGCGCTTTTTCAAATTTGGTTTGTTGCAAAAGATAGTCTTTCACGTTTATATTACGAAAGTCAAACTCTAGCTTCAAACACTTAGTTTTTATAATTCGAATTATTGCAAATCCGAATTTAAAAAACGGTTAACGAGTACGTACTAGTCCACGTTGCTGTCTGCTGCACTGTCAAAATAGTAATAAAAACGCATTAATCCGAACTCATATATCATCTGTACATTGGAAAAAAAATCGATTAGTCCTGAAACATTGTGCTTAATTTTTTTCCTTTTTTCCTGAAATTTGTCATCCTGCCAAGTGATTAGTCGATCCAATAATTTCAACATTTTTATGTTTATAATTTAATTTTTGAAAAAACTAACGGGTGTTTTAAACTAGAGTTTAGGATTTAATATGAAGGAATATCTTTTGCAACAATTCGTTTGTAAGCACGTTTCCACTTCTAGTCCTTCCCTTGTTAAAAGAAACTGTCGAAAAAAATTCAATAATACTTTTACGTTAATAAAGTCGATTCCGAATCGATGAACAATTTATAGAGAAAAATTGTGAAATGCGAAAAACTATATAAAATGTGTATTAAAAACGAAATAATGTAAGATTACATTTACGTTTTTTATAACTGCGTTTAAATAAATTTAAAGTATTGAAATCTTGAAGTGTAAAAAAATAAAAATATATAAAAATTATCTTATTATTAAGCAAGCTTTTGCGTAAAAGTAGACCAGCCTGTTTAATCCAGTGACATTAAGTGCATATGAATAAACGTTTGAACTCGCCTGTCCAGTTTGACCGAATCTTTCGATGTAAAAAGATCAATACTTATATGAAAAAAATGTATATGTATATTTCCAGATTTGTCGATAGAAGACAGAAGCACTACCCAGTTATGCGATTCTTCATTATTTGCAAAGGACTTGGCGAATATTTCGCAGAGAAATAGAAGTCTACCACTATCCACGTATTCGCGAAAAAGAATTGGATCTAAGCTTTCCGTTACCCGTATTTCGTCAATTAAATGAGACATATAGAACGCAGGTTTGATGAGATTTTTATCTTTTATTGAATTCTCTCTAAATCTCTATCTTTTGTTATTCCCTATGTATATAAAAATAATAAAATACGTAAAATATAAAAAACATGATAAAAATGACACTGTAGTGTCATTTATGGTTATATAGAAATAAAACTTAATTTTGAAAATAATCCTCGATAGAATAAGAAAAATGTATGCTATATTAATTATTACATTTGCATTACGCTAATGTATATAAAGATTGTTTAATGCATTAAACATTTGAAACTATCAAAATTATTATTTGTTTCAATTCTCTTAAAAAGATATGTGTAGATTGTTAATTTAACAAGGTTTAATTATAAGAGCAGATTGCTGGTTGTATACGATAGTTTTTATTTGACAATTTCGTTCGTTATACGCGATACAAATAGAAATCATTTTTGCCCCTGATCGAAATCAGCGTTGTAACCCGTTACAAGTCACATCACATACACAGAAATACACTTTTAATCACAGTATAGGGCACCCCACCCTAAACCGATCACGAAGAAATATACACTATATTACAAAGCGGTCGTATGCTCATCATCGGTAATACATTACATCGGATAATGGCTCGACCGATTGTGTTTATATACGTGTGTGGCGTATGTGAGCGAGTAGGAAAATACAGCTATTTCCATATAACGTGACATAAAATCAGTATAGCCATGTGAATGTGTTTCGGGTCCTCGTCGAATCTTCGGCACGGCCGAAGGAAGCGACTTGTTAAATTTGGTTACGCGCGAGAAGACGATGAAAGTTCTCGTTTGTGTCACACGATAGCCGTTTAATCGCGCTCGTTTATTCCCTTACATTAAGGTCAACAGAGTTCAATTACCTTCGGCAATGCTGCAGGTTTCAGTTGGATTTGAGGCTCGATTGCTCTCACTCTGATTTATAGTACGCAGGGCTGTGGCAGAGATGAAAGAGATATCGGAGTCGTTGGGCGCGAGTTTGCTTTCGACACTGTGTGTGGAAATTTTCAACTTGAATCTCAAAATTTGTTACAAGTACATAGAGAAAATTGAAATAATAATATAATGTGACGCAAACTATGCATTTGATCGTATTTCTCTTGATAATATTTCACATAATCAGAGATTTTGGGGATTTAGGGTAGCTTATAAAACTTATTAATTAGAGACTTACTGCTATTTATTTGATTAATTAATTTCTTTACTTCAATAATAAATTCATAACTATAGAAATTCGCTATTCAGTTTAAATATAAGAATAGGGAGAAAATTAATTCTGTGATAATATACAATTAAAATTTTTGGCATGCTCATTAAATCTAAGTAGAATATATAGGAGGAAAGTGGAGTAATAGTACAGTAGAGAAAATTTATTTCAGAGATAAACAGAATCTAACTTGTGAAATGGAATATAGTGACACTGCTTTGTGCTTATTATCACAGAATTGTCAATTGCCCAAATAATATATCGGGAACGCGCAGCTCCTTCGTGAGATCGTAGCACTTCATCGATATAATTTTAATATACATTGTAAATTAGAAAAAAATGTTTCAGTAGCAAAATTATTTCGAAAAATACGAGTCGCAGAAGAAAAAATAGCTGCAACTCGACAGTGAATATTTGTGTGTAAAGATTTCGCTTCAAGCTTGTATGCTTTGAATTGTCGTACCAACGAAGGGTGAATCATTACATCGTTTGCTTAATATGCCGTTGACATACACTCTGTCTGTTTGTACAAGATACCTGTATATTGTACTAGCGTTATTTACAGCGAAAGAAGAGAGCTTCGAGTGCGATAGAAATTCTCGACAGATATGTTTAGTCCTTATCGCCGATGTAAAAATTCATATGGTGAAATTTTCAAATATGTTTCCAGAACTTTCAAACCCTGAAAAGCTTCTGCCGTAAGTGCGTGCTTTAGCTTACGGAAGTGAAAAAAATATTTTTGGAGAGGAGACAACGAAGAATAACTTTCCCTCACACCTCACAGCGTTTTAATCTCATTAGTTTCCTCGAATCACTCTGAGGGTGTTCTGACATTTTAACGATAAATTCATCGAGTATCAATAAAAATCGCAGAACGATTTCGAGGCGCAGTCACACAAAAAAAGATAGTTACTAAATAAACGTTTAGCACAGTTTTCTCTTTGGAAGTATTATTTTACAATATTAGCGCTTGTAAAATAAATATCAGTGGGATTATATACTCTCTCCATGTTCTAACTTTTAAATCATCCGCCAAACGAAAAATTCGCAAAAAACGCAAGTAAACTCAATTACCAAAATTCTTCGTTTCGCAGTAATTATGAAACTTATTTTTGCAAATTAAAGCTGTCTCTAAAAAAAACTTTTGTACATACTATTTAATCCCTACTTATTTATATAAGAGACATTCCTCTTATATAATTCGCAATATACACAACTTCCGTTCGTTTTTCATCGGTAAACTAAAATACATACAGAATGTTTAATCAATCGTGTATCTTTTTTTGAATAGATTCTCTGAGAAATTCAAGAATTTGTCAAAAACAGTAAGTAAATAGAATTTTTCATTTCATGAATCAATATTATTTTAGAGATGGAAACAGAGAGTCCAGTTAACTTCATGTTTAATTCCACAATTTTTACTGAAAAGTAAAAAATTAACTTCCTTCAGAAATCTATTTAAAAAATGCACAATTTTGATATATCTTGTGATACATGTATGTATGTACTCTAACAATGCTAACGCAAGTTCACAATCCAATAGAACGAACACGTTCCGCTATAATCGATCTAGTCGTCATATTGATGCTCTTCAATTCTCGTTCCATTTGAGAATGAAAGATGTAAGACAGAAGAGATTCCAAGTCGCTGCTACAAATGTGTATTTGAAGAGCAAAGTGATTGCCCAACGGAGCATAAGACGTAAGTGATTCATTAAAGATTCCTAAAGATCATTAACGTGCATATAGCGTTACCGACGATAAATTCCGCGATATATCTTTAGTGCATCACTTGGCACGGCGTCTGATAACGGTATCGGTAAATTAAACACGATTGCCGAGTGCATTTATACTTCTTTTTATCGTAATAATATACAAAAATAAGATTCCAATTATAATAGGAACTGAGATGTTACGCTCGAGTGATCGCGTTACGCCGCGCGTACAGAAGGAACAAAACGCTACTCGTTCGTGATATAATTAAAAAAAATCGTCTAAAGTTGCTTAGCACATCTCCGCATAATTATACGAACATACTTGCGAGAAACTAGCGATAAATAAGCGCACTGACTATTCATTTCTTTCCCTTTTCTCTTCAATAATGATGTATGAGGAATATCAACAAAAAAATCGTCATATCAAAATATGCTACAATTACAATGTTCATGTGTAAAAATGTGCAAAATGATATCGTTTAACTGCGAGTGCTATCTAGAGTCGTACTTGACGCTATCGGCCTTATACAACGAAATTCTAAGAGACACATTACGTATCATTTGCTTATTAAAACATACATTTCTTTGTTTAACGTTGCAATATCAAGAGATATTCCGCGTAGATATTGCAGTCTCAGTTGTCACTCCTTACCAGTCTAGTCCCGCAACTTATGTCTCGATCCTTCGATCGTGAGACTTTCTTAACAGAAGAACATGCACATGATTTCTGGAACCATTGTAAAAATTTCATCACAATTTCTAACAATATTTTAAATAAAATATGTTATGTAAAATCTTATCGGGCGCTATTTTTATCGAAGATAGACCATTAAAATTCAATCTATCTCTGATTACCATTAAAATTCAATCTCAATTTACAATTATATCACATCTTAAAAATAATCACATCAGAAATGCAATTTTTAATAATCCAAAGTATCAATATTTAACAAAACATTTAACTAATAACAATTAAATTATTTAAATTATTTAAAATATATTATTAGAGAAAATTTTAATTTCTGAAAATCGTGCACATGTCATCTATATTTCAAACAAGAGATGAACTGGGAGATTTCAGTCGTAAAACTTGATAGAAACTGTTTTAACATTTGTCTTATAAATTCGCGTGAGATATTTTAGATATTGATCTTACTTTTTGAACGCACGCTGGTCCGAAACGCAATCCTCGTTTACACATCCTTGTGTAATACGATTACGAGACAGCTTTAATCGTCAGTGTCTCGATATAATTGCTATTTATTGTTAAACTATCGTATACTACATACAAACATAGGAGCGATTATCCTACGTTTGCAATTACAATAATGCCGAAACGGCATAAATATTAGCTGAATTTATTATCTCAAAATCTATGCAAGATGAATTAATCTCTTACAAGGTGAATGAGAGTAGTAACATATATATTATATATATATATATATACGATTTTCATTGCAAGATTTGCCAACAAGACACAACTGTACAATGTCTTTGCAATAATCCCAAAATTGTATATGTCCATTTAATGAACTTACGATTATAATATCTCAAAGTTCGTTCGACATAAATGTACATCTTACATTCTAATTTCAACTTATTCGATAAAATAGGAGTATCATAAAGCGAATAAAAGATCGCGACTAGAATTAATATATTCGACTAGAGTTCTCACCTTGCAAAAGTCTCTCTATAAAAGAAGGTTCAAAAGTCTTCACAAGTAATCTCATAAGATGCGAGTAATAATATTCAATTTACGCTTAACAATAAATGCTGTTTGTATGTAGGATACTTCTTCCAACTATTATTCACTATGATTCATAATCTATCACTAAAACGATATTAAAAGGCCGTTACATATTTCATCGCTTTGAAAGTAACCAGTGCCACACTTTGGAAGCGCTAGATATTCCGTATCTTCACTCTTTTCGAATCATATACATTACCTTTTACACTCGGAATTATTGGTCGAATGGTCGATATTTGCGAGCGAATATAAAAAGTAAAGATAAAAATGGTGTCGATCTCTTAAATGTCGCGAAGTAAATTATATTACACATCTCGAGAGTGGAAACGCAATGTAATAATCGTTAAATATCATAAAACCGAGACAATCGTGAAATTGTATATCACGTGACGTGCCGAACTTTCACCCCTTAAAAACCGCGATTTGTAGCACTTCCATGCAGAGGCAATAGGCACTTTAATATGACGATGAGAATGACGAGTTATCCTAAAAGGTTAATCCATTTTCACGGCGGGTAAACCGTGACCTACGACCAGTTGTTCTTTTGGAAAGTCCCAAACCACAGTGATGTGAAAGCCCATATTTGCAAAGGCTATCACGTACTCACATAGTGAAAACCAAGTAAACGCTGCACAAAAATAATAACAAATATTATTTCTTTTTAATTATGCTTACACTTTTATGAAATATATAAGTTTATTGCAATTGTGTTCGGTTTCTTACCCATGTCGTGACACAGCAGTCGATGTTTCAAGAAGAAAATAATAAGACCGATTGTACTGACGAGACTCGTCATGAAAAGCAGTTGTTTGTACTGAAGACTTTGTGCATTTGGAGTTATTAGACGACCCAATCTCACGGCGGTCAACATGTATGTGAGCGAGCTAACCATGAACACTATGAAAATTTTTTCGTGCACCGCTGAAAGCAAATTTTTGTATCGTTCACTAAATGCTCCCATTTCTCGATCATACAAAATTAGTCGTAGATACTGTGAAACTGCGCTTGAAAGCTTACTTACAGTAATTTTCTCTGTTAGAAATGTACGTTACACCAGACAGAGCCGCTACCTCGGCAATGTTTAGCCAGTAGCATAGGTTTAGGAGCCTGCTCCCCATAATTTTTAGAGGCACATCTTCAATGTTCTTAAGTATCTTGTAATAATATGAGTGATAAACACTGGCGATAACCAGTCTAGGACCAATGTGTAATGCTATGCTGATACGCCATAGATACCTCTGTGGAGATACACCGGTAATGGCTGAGATCGATGGAAGAATATTGTAGACCTTTAACAAAAGAGACAAACAAATAAGATTTCTGTGTGCCTTGAGCCCTGCTTGTCGTAACGAAGTGACCAGTATGAAAACTGTCGCTTACCCTACAGTGAGTTTCGTGAATATCGTCCTGTTGAAATATGTACGCCGTGACAAAGCAGAACAACAGCGATACAAGTGGTAAGCCGACTGTCGCCAGGCACAGCTTTCGGAATGACAGCGCGAGGTGTACGGTGCCCTTGTTGCTCCCGACATTGTTCAGCTCCATATTGGCAGCGCCGCCCAGCATCCTGGCATTTGTGCGCGTAATTGTGCGCCAACGGATGTACACGATAACTCGAAAAGAGGAGTATAAGATCCCAGTCAGACAATTGTGCGATGCAGACTCATGTTGCTCTCCAACAATCCGGTGCGGGCTCACATATTCCTGATGATCCCGTCACTCCGCCGCGTGCCACGACATTCCTGTGAGAAATAGAGAAGATCGTAGATTACTGTTTCGTTTCGACGCTCGTTCAACGAGATGATGACACGGCCGATCGAGGAGCTCGTTGCCGGGGGAGGAACGATTGGAGCACCCATATGTCGAGCGAAAGTGCGGGATCTAATTGCGAAGCGAGGGAGCGACGGGCGCTCGTTCTGCGGGTGCAGCTTGCGAAACCTTCTCTTGATTAGAGATAAATCCGCACAACGAGCGCGTTGATAGCTATGTGAACGCAATCGCCTCTGGCTTATCGCGCGAATTGCCCGCGATAAAGAGCGTGGGATCGTCGCAACGCCGCGGAGTCGAGGGAAACAACATCGCGGCTCCCCGGAGATTGACAGCTCCGTGGAGCTGCCCGTTATTACACGCAAACGTCGTGCGTATACGACGTATCAACAACACACGCCAATTTAGCGGTTGATCCCCGCGCGTCACTCGCGACTCACCGCGTTGTTACCGCTCCGGCACCGCGCTCCGCGTCTCGCATCTCACCCTGTGTGTGTGTGCTGATTGATTTTGCGAAATAACCTACTCGCTCTATAAATAGCGGGCGGCGAAAGGGCGAAATCGCGGTCGGCGGTTCACCATGCTCCTCCTGGCGTCTTCCGCTTGGCTTCGTCCGAGCGGCCCGCTCCGGAGTGCCGCCGCGGCGGGGCGGCGGGGCGGCCCTCGATTATCGGGGCGAGAGCGGCGATAGCGATGTGTCAAATGTCAACGCGGTGCGGGACGATCCCTAACGAACAGCGCAATGCCGAGGCACTGCGGACCGACTGACGCCCCGCGGCCGCTAACGACTCGCGCGCGACGAGTCCGGCGATCCGCGCGAGAGTTCGATTCGCGGACGATCGGCGGCGGCGGCGGGTGGACTCGCCGCGAGGAAGGTTTCTTCCCTCCCGATTCTCGGAGAGAGACGAGATCCTCTCCGGCGACGGGCGACTCGTCTCGTCTCGTCTCGTCTCTCGCTCGTCACGATTAATCGTATATCGTCTGCTACGGGGACGTTCCAACTCCCCTCAGACCCCTCCCCGACAAGAGATGTATGTATTGTACTTTCAGGGGTCTTCACGCGCGCCTCATCCGCCCAGCGCCTCCGGGAGTTCGCACTGTGGGCGGAAAGTTTGAACGCATTGCGTTTGACTTTGAGAACGGTTTTTTATTCGCTAACCGCGTAAAATATAAACATTATTGGAGCGATTAGATTTTAACAGAAAGTAGTCAAAATGATTAGTTTGTAAAGTTTTGTCAAATTTAATAATGTATTTTCTGATATATATATATATATATATATATATATATATATATCAGAAAATACATTATTAATATATAATCTAAATATATATAATATATATTTAGAAACAGATGAATTGTCAGTAGTGCTAGTATTAATGCCACATATTAACGTATATATAGGTATCTGATTATTATATATTTTATATACAAATTTGTAAAGAATTTCTTTATATCCGTAAATAATTTTGTAAACTTCCAAGAGAATTTACTAGATACATAAATTTTTTAACGCCAAAATTTCCACAATTTATCCATAAAAAGTTTCATGATCACGAGAAAAATATTAAAGACGAGAGATAAAATATCTAAAATATTCTGTTAATCTTTTTCAATTTTTAACACATTATACGTCTAGATATACTAACGGTTTAAATACTATCAGATGCAATTACGATTATTTCGTTAATCGAAATATTTTAGAATAATAACATATAGAACGTTTTATGATTTTTATTACAAAGATAATTATATTTATACAGTACAATTCTGTTATATACGCGCCCGTTTATTCGTCTGACTCTCCTCTTCCATCTCGTACTCGATTTCCACTCTCGCCCGCGGTTTCTTCTGCACCTTTCTTTTCTTGACAACTTTCGGTCCTTTCGTCTTCTTGCTCGTGGATGGCTTGACCAAGTCCTAATGACAGACACAAGCAATTTATATTGCTTACAAGTGCAATAAGTTCATTTTTACTTTGAGAATTCTTAGTTCTTACCTCAATATCACTAGCTTCGGACTCAAAGCTGTCCGACAATTCAATCTCTTCTTTCTGTCCAGAGTCACTATCTTCATCCTACGCAACATTTTTAATTGCATTTATGAAGAAATATTATTAAAGTATTTTTGTGAAGAATTTGTATTTCAGCGAATAATTTTTTACCATAGAAAGCTCTTCGAGGTCGTCATCATCGTCATCCTCATCGTAGTCGTCGCTGTCAGCTTCAACGTATTCTGGACCATCCAGTTCAGCTTCTCTCTCGTCCGCTTCCAATTCTATTTCCACCTCTCTCTCGAGCTCTTTCTCCTGCTCCTCTTCCTGCTCGCTCTCTGCTTCACTTTCTCTTTCAACTTCAACAGCCTCCACAGCCTTGTCGAACACTCGTTGTGGGAAATTGTAAATACCTTCATACTGAAATACAAAGAAAAATGATATCTCCGAAACGTATCTAATCTTTTACAGTAACGAATGTAGACTTCAATTACCATCCCCTTCTTCAGCCTCTCCATAAGCTGTTTTTCAATCGCATTTTCTAGTTTTGCAGCAATCAGCGCCTTTTCTTCCCTACGCCTTTCTCTTCTTTCGATTTTCCTCTGAAGGGGTACAATTTTCTTCTGCCGTCTCAGCCTAAACTTTCTCATACGAATAAGATACTGCGTAATCTTGAGAAATCTCTGTTTACATTTTGCCTTTATAAAACCAGGCCAGTAGAGCAGATTTTCATTAATCTGATGTATCGCCTTTTCAAAATTTCTAGACAGCTTGACTTTTTCCCAGCTATTCTTAGGTGTGTGTATTCTATAAAAAAGAAGCTTATTTAATTTTCAAATTAGCACATATTAATACACATGTAAAAACATTATATACATGTACACACATATAAAGAGTATATGAAGACAAAAGATTATTTCACAGATGCTACGATTATATTTAGTTAAAACTTCTTAGTTTTTTTAAATATACTTCTAATATGAAGTGTTATAAAACAAATGTCGATGCTACATTAATAATGTGATTCACATGTATAACCTACCTTTCTGCCGTTCTCATGTAGAGATAAATAATACCGTTCTCTTCTCTAATGGTAGCATATTGACTATTTGCAAGAGGACATGCAGCTCTGCTGCATAAACCGGTAAGATTAAACTCATTTCTGCAGAATCGCTGTGTCTTTGTACTGCAAAAGAAACGTTACAATGAGATTAAAGCTGTCATACAATTCTTCTGTATGTTCATTCATTTCTTAAGGACGCACTTACTTTACTTTGAAGGAACAGAACGATTTATTGATAACACTCCACACAACCTGTAAAATTGTTTGTTATATTAAATCAGGATAATAATCAGAAATAATTAAAATAAAAACTGTGTTCAGGGCCTTATACTTACGTCGTCGTGCTGCATTTTGCTTTATTATAATCCAATTATAAGAACCAGTATTATTAATTACAAATAAACGTTACTCCGACAACACGTGCAATCTGAAGTAAATACTAGGTTAGGTTACACTCAAGTGGTCGTGTCAGAGAGAAACTTGAAAGAGGACATGACGCTCTCTGAAGAAGTGGATGTAAACTACATAGCAACATTCTGCACCGCGGGTATACAATTCTATTCCGTGCTATTTGTACAAAATATAAATATATCTTGAATATTTCTTCATGAAAGCCTAAAAGTATAAAATATAAATCTTTTCAAATGCAATCTTTTATACTGGCATTTCTTTTTCATTTATTATATTATATTATATTACTTAACTTAGAATTTTCTTATATACGAAGAATATATTTTCAATTTAGGAATTTAAAATTTAATAAAAATGCGAGATAGAAATAAAATACGAAAAATATGTTTATGTGTATGTACATTATATGTACAATAAAATATATAAGAATATTTTGTATGTGTGCTGTATGTATGAAAGAGATGTGTATTTTTATATAAAATGGAAAGTAAATTTTTTATTATTTATTGTTTATTATTCTAATTATATATCAAAAAGTACTTTAAATTTTTACCTATTCTACATTGCTAATCTTCAATCAATCACAGCGGCTTTCTATGGAAAATAATTAATATTAATTGTGACGACGTTGCCGCGCCGCACGGTGTGCACGCGCCATTAGTACGGCGAGCGCCTGTATGTAGGCCACCCATTGTACAGCGCGCTTTCTCGAGAGTATGTAGGTATGTATGTTGTACATACATACAAAAACGATTTCAATAAGAAAACTGCACTATATGATATATGTATAAGACATTTAATTTTTCAATTTCTATTGTATATATAAGTATATATAAAATTGCGACCTTTATCCTAAGAATGTACGGATAATTATAATTAAGTATGTATACATACTTAATTAAAAATGCATTGAAAATAATTTCAACTTACAGCTTGTTATGATCTTTTTTTTTTAGTTATTCTACCGTCGCAAAATCGTATGCGATTATCGTTAAAAATTTTATATGAAGTATCGCCATCGTAATTTACGTGTATCTTCATGAACAGACTGCTATAGTATTTCAGTATCAAAGGTATCGCATCTCATGATTTTTCTTCAAAACGGCTGCGATGAAAAAATCGGGATAGGCGCGATTAATTAGTTACTAAACAGAAGTTAATTTCAATGCACGTCCCATCGGATTGTGCTGAACAGACTGCTAGTATTTCAGTATCAAATATAGCGCATCCCGTGATTTTTTTTCGAAACGGCTGCAGTGAAAAAATCGGGGTAGACGCGAATAATTAGTTACTAAATAGAAGTTAATTTCAATGCACGTCCCATCGGATTGTGCTAAACAGGCTGCTAGTATTTCAGTATCAAAGATAACGCTTCCCGTGATTTTTTTTCGAAACGGCTGCGGTGAAAAAATCGGGCCAGGGTATATTCATAATCTGAGAGAGGGCATGATTTTTGAATGCACGATTTTTCGAAAATAAAGCGCCAGCTGTTTCGAAAAGTGAATGTAGCACGGACACGCACCACAAATTGTATAGGTACCCGCGGTGCAGAAAAGTGAATGTTGCTATGTAGTTTACATCCACTTCTTCCGGGAACGTTAGTGCACGAGGGCATTTTAAGGTAACATGCAAAAGACCGTCATGTTTTCTCTCTCAGGTTTCTCTCTGGTTCTACCAACAGTTGTCGTTGTCGGTGTCATTACGTAGCTTTTTTACCATATAAAGAAACTGCGCAACGATCGACTAGTAACCATCGGTAGCTTATATTTCAGGTATGTCCACTCACAAATTTCTCTCTGCACTATATAATAATTATAAGATTCTTTGAACGAAAGTTAGATGTCGTTGCTAATACCACATTTTTTTTTATAATAATAAAAAAGAAATTTGAACGTGAGTTTGAACTAGAGCTAGATGGCTCCGATGGTTAAAGTTCTTGGTATGTATGTACGTACATACATACATACAAAACGCTATTCTACATTTCCTAATAAAAGAATTCTTTGAACGGAGTCATTTAAGTAACTTTCCCCAAAACAAATTTTACAAAAATATGTTCACACAAATCATAGATGTTTTAGAATTAATTAGCTTTCTAAAAAAATTACAAAAGGTTTTAATTTAAATTATTATAAATAATAATTTACAAAAGTAATTTGACGAATGAAATAATGTGAAATGACAATATTTTTGTGACTTCATTAATTCAACACATTATAAATTAAAAAAAATTGAATTGTTGATTTTATACTCATCGATGTATTACATATTGGAAAATTGTTGTTGACAATTACACATTCTTTACATTTTCACAAAAATAGCCCAGTTTTAAGTTTATTATATCGAAGAATTCTTTTTCTTCTCGATTACAACATTCTCGATTATTTTATGTAATCGCTTCGATAATCCAAATATATGCCTTAATTTATTCAGAAAAGCTATATTTGTCGTACTCATCGGTTAAGATTTAATATTTCGAGAATAATATCCGAAGGGTTGCTTGCCAACTTTCAGGAAGCATTATGTAACCCCTTGCGAACTAATAACTGGATAATGGAGGAATTTATATTCGTGCGACGAGACCCCTCGGCGATGGCGAAACGTCAGGTTGTCATCACCTCGATATATCCGACTTCAGCCACGGTCAAGTTAAGTTTCTTAATTAAGAAACCGTCCATCCAGAATGTCTTCGTCAACTGCGTGAATCTTATGGATTTAACATAACGATATGCCGAAGACGTAAAGGAATTTTGCATCCAATAAAAATTCCTGTAAAAGAGAAGCAAATATTTTATTAATGCTCAATGATCTTGAATTTAATTTAAGAATTTATCTTTTTTTTAAATAATCCTTAAGACAATCGAAATATAGTACGGAATCTTTGGAGAAATTGATTAATTCACAATTATATTAGTCAATATATTATATGTATACAAAAAAAATACAACAATTTCATTAGTAACAAAAATGAAAAAGTTCTTTGAGCGAATTAAACACCGGAAATACAAATAGCATATTATTGGTTTTCAGAAAATATTAACATTTTACTCCATCTTTAATTTAAGATTTTATTGCTAACAAAAATGTGTTAGATATTAAATATCTAAAACTTATAAAGACTATGCACATTTATATTAAAAAGATACTAATTTTATTACATTTTACGTGTACTGTTAGCTAAAAACATTTTCTTACACTGTTTCTGATTATCCAGATAGCACAGAGAATCCAAAAAGAATTCTTTTTAAATCCCCGAATTATAAAATGTATTCTTTTTCGTATCTGATATTTTTTTGTTCTAAAAATAGTCCTAAGGGTTTCAAAGGATTTTATTTTTACGTCATCAATTCTGAGCTCTCTTTTTTAGATACAAAAGAAAATTATAAAAGAAAACTATAAAAATCATTTTTATAGTTTATATAAGAATTCGCAGTAAAATCGACGTAGCTCTTAGATAGTGTCTTAGCAAAAAAATATAACTTTTATGAATTAGGTTCCTAAATTAATTTTTACACTGAACTAAACAAAATTGTGCTGTCGAAACCTTTTATTTACTTTTATCTTGGAGTCCAATTTTGGGGGCTTATTTTCAAGATGTTATTTAATCATCATTTTATTAAAACACAGTTGAAAAATCTTATAATGCGTCTTTTTTCTATTTTGCATCTTTTTTATTTTAGAGGCTTTTTTTTATTTTAAAGAAATTAGAACGTTGCCATTATTCATCTGGCGACAGTACTGTTCGCAAGTGACAAATTTTTTCGAACTTGTTACGATAGAAAAAGGACTTCTCTTTCAGAACAACTTCGATATTTAACTCTATAAGATGTCAAAAGGTATAATACTTCTATGGAATCCTTTTTGAGTTATCGAAAAAAAATTCTTTTTGAGTTCATACCGATTACCTGTGTTATTTAAGCATAAATTCCTGTTTAATTTAAAAATGGCTACCATTTGGAAGACGTGTTTCGACGGACGACTTTGATAGGTTGACAGCATCCAACACTACATCTACGTATGCGGGACAACGGTATAAAAAAACGGGGGTGGAGTGCGCGCGCGGGGAAAAGACACGGCACGGTGGATATTCGCGAGCCCAAAGGGCGTTTACGAGTTTCCCGCCACGCCGATTTTCGAGAGTTAGAGAGAGAGAGAGAGAGAGAG